GGTTACCGGGGATATCAGATATCCCAGCCCTATAGGGACTGAGGAAGCCCGCAACACCAGCCACAAGTGCGAGGACTCCCACACGAGGGGGGGCCAGCGCCACCAAAGGGAGGAGCGGACAAAGCGGGCCCTCCTCCAATAGCAATAACAATACCAATCTGCAAACGAGGGTTGAGAACCCTAACCAAGACCATAGGATCGTGGCCGCAGAAGGAGAGCTCAAAACACGGCTCAAGAACTGGAAGATTGCCAAGGCTATGAGCAGTATGAAGGCCAAAGGAAAGGAGCCCTGCCTCAGGAATGATGGCAAAGAAATGTGCCATTCCTGGCGCGCTAAAGGCTTCTGTTACGACGGCTGCAGACTAGGGTATGATCACACAGAGTCGACAGCGGAAGAAGACGACCGCTTCTGGTCTTGGTGCCAAGAGGCTTACACCAACACAGACCAATGAAGAGGGGGCAGGCAGCCTGCTCCTTATCGCGCAGCTGCTGTGCCACTGCCCCCACGTAAACGTCAGAGGAGGCGGGTGCAGGATACAGCAGCAGACTGGGAAATGACTCACTCCCCTGTAGAACTAGGTAAGCAGTGTACGCGAGAGCATTTCCCACATAATCGTAAGAGGAGACAGGAGCCCGTTCCTGACGTCTCCCCCAACACCAATAGCCAGATACCAGAGGAGAGCTGAGACTACGCTGGTCCTGGTACTGAACATCGTAGGGACAACGGAGGCCAACGAGAGCCTGTGGACAGCCCCTGGGAGCCTGAATACACGGGGGTCGAGTCCCCCAGGGCCCCCGATACAACAACCAGAGCCCGACAAGGACAGCCCCTTCCTACCACGTATCCATACGACCGGCTCGATGCTCATGTCGCAAAGGCGGTAAAAGCCTTTCACCAAGCAGGCAGCTGGGGAGACGGGGGGACCTCCATCAGGACGTGGGAAAGCTACCACATCCGGCAGCTCCCCTCCTACACAGTTTCCAGCAGGAAGGAACACCAGCTACGATGACGTCACCACCCTGGGGAGCAGCCCGTATAGCAGGAGCCTTAGCCCGGGGGCCACACAAGTCATCCACAACGGAATAGAATTCCTTCGAGAGGAGTATGCAGATATGATGGATAAGCAACAATGGACTGTCTTACCTGCCAAGTTGGTGACCGGAATCCCAGGGCTCCGATTAAGCCCACTGGGACTCGTGCCACAGTGAGGGAGGAGGGACCGAATGATCTCCGATTACAGTTACTTTGGGGTGAACGCTGAAACTGCCCCCTTAGCCCCCGCTGAAGCAATGCAATTCGGTCGAGCCCTGAAACGCCTCCTCCAGCGAATCCACAGTGCCAGTAGTAGGTTTAGGCCAGTGTATCTATCAAAGATAGACCTGTCCGATGGTTTCTACCAACTCTGGGTGAAGCCGGAGGACACACTTAGCCTAGCCGTGCTGTTCCCACAACGGGAAGGGGAACAGCCCCTAGTAGGAATTCCTCTCACGAACCCCATGGGCTGGTGCTCATCACCACCCAACTTTAGCGCCTGCACAGAGACAGTAGCAGACCTAGCCAATGGCATCCTTTTAAAGGAGGGACTGGGAATGATGAGAAGATCACCACACCGACTCGACGGAATCTCCGAGACACCGCCCGAGGAGGTCGAGGCCAGCCAGCAGTCACCACCGGCGAAGAGCCCAGTCAGGGAGGCAAGCTTCCCAGCCCGTAAGCCCTTGCACTACTGGGACATCTATGTAGATGATTTCTGTGGATTGGTCCAAGGGAACCAATGGACCCGAAGAGCAGTGAAAAGGACCCTGCTCCACTCCCTGGACAGAGTATTCCAGCCTCTGGACAAGCAGGACACACCGTACCAACAGGAGCCTGCCTCCATCAAGAAGCTTAAGAAGGGGGATGCCACGTGGACAACCTCAAAAGTAATACTGGGATGGCTTATTGACACCACAAATAAGACAATTAGCCTGCCCCCCCACCGGGTGGCAAGACTGCAGGAACTGCTTCAGTCCATTCAGGCCCACCAGAAGTATGCAACTGTGGGAGACTGGCACAAGTTACTCAGGGAGTTGAGATCCATGTACCTAGCCTTACCGGGTTCCCTGGGACTGTTCTCCATGCTGCAAGAAGCCTTCCGACACCAGGAAAAGGGCTGTAACAGACTCCGTCTCACTCGTGCCCTCCATGGCTTCCTGCAAGACTTTCGATGGCTAGCCCAGGACATAGCGAGCAGACCGACTCGGATCGCTGAGCTGGTACCAGACCTCTGGCCAGCCACCATTGGTGCTTGTGATGCCGCCGGTGCGGGAATGGGAGGAGTGCATTTCCTCCCCACGCCAGATGGCAAAATACAGCCACTGTTCTGGAGAGCCCCATTTCCAGCATGGATCCGCCGTGACTTGGTCTCCTTTGCCAATCCGGAGGGGACAATTACCAATAGTGAACTGGAACTGGCAGGGTCTATAGCCCACATCGATATCCTGGCTCAAGCTGCCGATATTGGGGAACGCACCGTACACAACCTTTACGATAACACCGCTACAGTACATTGGCAGAGGAAGGGAGCAGCTACGACCATGGGACCGGTAGCATACCTCCTTCGACTGCAGTCCCTCCACCAAAGGCTCTTCCAATATGTACCAAGACACGATTACATACCAGGACCAGCCAACGTTATGGCGGACACCCTTTCCCGGGCCTGGCACCTCTCAGACTCACAGTTGCTTGCCTATTTCAACTGTTCTTTCCCTCAGAGCATGCCCTGGCAAAGCTGCTGGCTCAGGAAGCCGATGTATTCCGCACTGACCTTGTCCTTGTCCAAGCGGAGATGCGAGCCAGTGTTACTGAAGGCTACTCCAAGAAAAAGGATGCCCATTGGGAATGCTGGCTTCACTACTGCGTGTCACACGAGTTGGACCCATTCCTCCGCACTACCAAGGACCCTGTCCCATACTTGCAAGTCTTTGGAGCCCGGTACCAAGATGGAAGACTGTCCCCCAGCGGCAAGCGTGCACGAGCTCATACAGTATGTGACGCCATCCGTTCAGTGGGCCAGAAGATCACCTGCATGGGGGCCCAAGATCCCCGACTCAACCAGTTTGGTGCAATAGACTACCAGCTCACTTCCCAGTTGCGGGCCTATTGCCAGCTCGAGTGAAGCCTGTCCCTATCACCATCGTCCTACACCAGAACGCCAGGCTGTTGCTAACATGATCTGCATTGCGTTCTTCTTCTGTCTAAGACCGGGGGAATACACAGGAACCACATCGGATGATCAAGCTTTCTCCCTCAATGACATCACCTTCTTTGTGGGAGCTTGACGACTGTCCTCTGAAACGGCCTCCGACACAGATATCAGTGCCACCACTTCAATCCAACTTACTTTCACAACACAGAAAAACGCAATCAAAGGGGATGTTATTGTGCATGCTCGCAGCAACGATCCCCTGTGCTGTCCAGTGACCGCAGTTATACAGCAATTCCTTCTGCATAGGCACCACTCCACCACCTTCAATGGTTCGGTCAAACTGGCTAGTTTCTACGACGCCAACAGCGGAACCAACATACAAATCACATCCAAGATGATCACAACGACAATGCGATGGCATGCGGCCATCTTGCAACACACCACTGGCATCAACCCAGCCTCCCTCAGCGCTCGCTCTTTGCGGACCAGAGGGGCCATGGCCCTTCTCCAGGGCAAATGTGACTCCAACGTCATCAAACTCCTCGCTCGGTGGCACAGCGATACCATGATGCGATACCTCCACCAACAATCGGTCCCCTTATTCCGGAACCTTGCCTCCCTCATGTTCAACAATGGCACCTACAGCTTCCTCCCCAAAGAATCCGTCCCCTCAGCTGCGTAGCGCCCTGCGCTCTGCCGGAGGGCTCCGCCCGGCGGGCCCTCAGCGCAATGCCCACAGCGCAACGCTCCGGCGCCTCCCACCACGCTTTGCTCCCACCCTTTGGCCCGTGGCCCTTTGGCAGCGTGTGCTTGTGGTGTAGGATCAGCAGGCTCAAGGATGCTGCGGCTCCCCCTCCCCTCCAAGCCTTAACCCTAACGGGAGAAGGCCATACACGTGGAAGAGAGTTGGGGTTGCTGCAGTTTCCCATAGGACCTGCTTAACCCACAAACACAGTCTATACTTAGTAACACTAGAGTTCCTGGGAAACCACGCAATGGGCTCGTTACAGAGGCTGTTTTGTGTAAGGAAACAGCCGAGGATGGAATATGAATTTTCCAATCAGTCTGCAGTAGTTTTCGACGCGTTGCGCACCCCTCCTATTTATGACCCCTGCTTCTAAGTACCCTAGCCTAGCTATCGACAGAATTCTCTATGGAATACGTGTACCTGTGCTCGTACGATTAAAGTACGTACCATGCTTGATGTAGAGCTACGAAGTACAATTCCCATAATGGCAAGCTATTGGCAATCCCCRTACAAATACTAATAGAAATTTTTAGCTCATTTTTACAGTTAAATCCAGTTAAAAATGGCATCCAAAGGACRAAAATAAAAATATTTCCATTGTTTAATTTCTCGCTGGTCCCAAAATATTTCTATTAGTGGTCCTTAATACTTGAGATAAGCACTGATTTGATATTCTCAGTAGTAAGTATCAAGTATAGAAATATTTTCGGACTTGTACTTTTTTTCGTGGAGGAGGGGGAGAGGGGAAAAAAAAGACGGGAAAATAAAAAAAATTGATAGTCGGGAAATTGCCAATAGCTTGCCATTATGGGAATTGTACTTAGTAGCTCTAGCTTGATGACAAAAGATGGTCACAAATGATGAGACTACCGTACAGTAATACTATCAGCACTAATAGTACAACACCGTACGGTATGTCCAGAGTTACCAAAAATAGGTGTCAAACAAATCGTGCACATTGAACCGCAGTACGTACGGTACGAGTTTACCAAACAGTAATCGATTCGTACGTGAGAGCATGAAAGATTTTTGATGTTGTAAAGCGTGTTAGCGAACGAGGGGTACTTTACGGTAGATTCTGGGCAGTCTCCCCAAATGACAAGAGCAGTGGCACTCGCCGCAGACTTGTTTTGTGTTCTGGGGGAGCAAACCCAACGAGCACCAACCAGGCTACGGCCAACCGGCATCACACCACACCGAACCAAGGGCTTGCAGAGCGGAACGGACCCCGGACAACCCGCCACGACCCGGAATGGAGGAAGCCTCGCGCGAGGAACGAGGCGGGGACGGGGGCGCGAAGAGATCCCTAGTCCGAAAACGCCCGGTTTCCTTTGGCGTCTCGAGAAACTTTCACGGGAACGTCTACACCCTCTCCGGTGCTGCCGGGGATGGCAGCAGCGGCACCACCACCACCGCTGCGAGCAAGGATGCCTTTGCTGATGCCCGTTTGTCGCTGGGACACCCTGGCGGCCGCGAAAGCACGAGCGGAAACGAAGGAGGCGCGGGCGATCGGAGGATGGTAGCCATGGTCGGGGTTCCACCGGAGCACGTGCCGGAAGGGATTCTGAGTTTGATCCGGTCCCACCGTCCCTTTGTGGAACACGTCCGGGTGGTCATTTCCGACGATTGCCGCGACGGCGACGACGTGGGAGAGGGCAAGGAAGAAAACACTTTGGGCGGCAACGGCGACAGAACATACCTCGTTCTGGTGCAATTGGTGCGCGAGGAAGATGCCCTTTCGTTTGTAGAAGACCTCGACGGAAAGCCCTACATTGCGTTTGACGACCGTGACAAGTGTCGGATAGAACGCGTGGTTCACCTGGAGACCACCACCACAAC